AGAAAAAGCAGGGGAGAAGGATTCAGAATTTTTCTTTTCTTTTTTTTTTTTAAAGTTTTATTATTTTGTGTGTGTGTGCTATCAAATCGGATCTCACTGGTACAGGAAGAGACTGTCCCTCCTTCTCCAGCAGAGCATCTGGTGGATTTGAACTGTGCACCTCTGGGATTGCAGTGCAGCATCTTGCCACTAGGTCAACAGTGCTCCCAGAATTTCTTATATCAGCATTGATTTATATTTGAAAAATTTTATTTTTTAAAAAATAAAATGAAAAATCTTCCTGTCAATTTTATTTATCTCTTGAATCATGATTTTGCTGTAAATATCTTCCTTTGCTATTCAAAATAGCATGTAGCCATGTGTGGCTACTTAAGTAAAACAGAACAAAACAAAAAATGAACCAAAAGCACAAAAAATGATGCTTGTCACATTTCAGTTATTCAGGAAAGGAATAGAGCTAGTACTTCACAGCATAGACAGTACGGAACATTTTTATCATCACAGAAAAGTTCTGTTAATAATGTTCCCTATTAATATTCTGATTGTTTTTACTGTGCTCTAGAGATATGTGATAACTTTGCATATTTATAAATCTGTTTTCGCTTTTGCTACTTACTATTTGGTGAATAACCTAGAATTATGATTATGATAATATAATTCTTATATTTAATTTGAAATGTGACCTTATTTTATGAAACCTTAAGCTCCCTAAATAAAAAATTTTTTTCTTTTTTATGTCATTCATAGGGTGCAGATATATGTCGCCTTTGGCGTATTCATAGAGCTTTATATTGCTTTGATTTTGATTTGGAAGAAAGTATAGACGTTAAAGATATGCTACTTCAGTGCTTCATAAATGTTAATTATATCAAGAAAGAAGAGGTAAGCCAGATTTTCTGAGTTGCTTTTAAAGAGCTCTTATTCTAACTACCTATGATTGCTGTTTGCACTTGGTTTATTCTTTTAATGAGTCAGCATAGCTGTAAAGAACTATTGAAATGTTATTATTTGATCATTACCTGACATAATGTCTTTTAGCTATAATACAAGGCTATATTTGGTTAAAAATTTCAGCTTTTGGGTCAGAAAAGTTGCGTTCAAGTTCCTGTTCATTCACTCAGTATGTGGATAACCTTGGACTGCCTATTTACCTGATTTAGATCTCAGTTTTTCTCTTTGTAAAATAGACTTCCTGTGAGTTAATAGTTGGAAAACTTTTAGTTAGTATCTGACATATAATAAACACCTCAGAAAGATTGCTGCAACTGTTTTCTGATAAGCTTCTGCTTCATTATTGGAATAGATAACTGACTGTGTGGTCTATGCCCGAAGTATTTGTAGAATTGCTATGAAATTTTGGGGAGAGTAAGACATGTAATATTATTTCAGATGAATAGATTTTATTTTTATTGACTTATCTATATATAAGCCAGACTGATAACTTTATTATAAGTAGTTAGATTTAATAAAATTATATATAAACCATTAAGAATTGTGGTTATATGTATATAAATATATAACAGACATAAATAGTAAACCTTTTTTAAAATTGATTGTATTCTTGAATTTAAGATAGCTAAACTCTAAGAGAGCTTTGGTGCCCTAGTGGCAAGAAGCTGTGCTGCAATCCCTAAGGCATGCAGTTATGGAACAACATCAAGAACATCATGAAGAAGGCTAAAAATAATTAAAAAGATAGGAAAGAAAGAAAAGAACAGAATGGATAGCAGAAGAGGCTCTGCAATTTGTTCTTGAATATTGAGTAGTCAAACCATTCTGAAAGCGAAGAGTACTTCAAGCACTTATTGGTGAAGATCAGAGACTAGTGCCTTATATATGAATTATACATCAACACAAAAAAGAAATTCTTCATGACTAGGCCTTAGAATAGCAACTTTTTAAAGTTATTTAATTCTTAAAGAATTGTTTGATTTTGGTTACTGAAATACTTTTACACTAATACAGTTTTAACATTGTATGCTATTATGTATAGGGAAGAAGATTTCTTAGTTCTCTCTTTAACTGGAATAAAAACTTTATTAAAATGATCCATGGGACCATTAAAAACCAGTTACAGGGATTACCAAAGTAAGTATTAAAGATAATTATTCCCCTTTAACTTTTATTTATTGTGGTGTTGTTGAGCATACACAACAAAATATAAAACCAATTCAATAGTTTATCCATATACACTGTAGTGACATTGATTGCATTCTTCAAATCAAGCAAATAGTTCTATTTCCCTCCTCTTCCCCTCCCTCATTATTAACTCATTTTATTATCAATTATTTTATTAATTTGTCAATAATTTACTGGTTATAAATTATTAACATTACTATTCACTGCCCCTTAAGGCTGTAATAGGATATTTCAAGTTGCTGTTGCCAATTTTGTATCTGTTAAAAGATATTTTTTGTTTCTTGAAACCTTTAATAATTATCTCGTTAGATTATGTGTCATTGTATAACTGGATAATTCTTTTTTTTTCCCATTCTAATGGAAATAATTTTTTTTATAATAATGACCACTTGAAAAAAGATTTTAATTTGTAGTAACATTTGAATAGTCAAATTATCTACCAATTAAATCTCAACCTCATTCTCAAGTTTTATAAAGGTCATTTCAGTAATATTTCCCATAACACTTTGAATGTATTTTAATTTTCCATTTAAGTTAACTAAGATAATGTGATTTCATGGAAGGAGCTCTTCATTACAGAAATCTAGAGATATAAGATTCTGGTGGTAACATTGCAATTTCTGAGTTGTAGTCTTTTTTTTTTTACCTTTTTTTTTCTATAATTATATTTTATTAATTTTCATAAACATTTACAGAGATTTTGGGTTTCCATTCATTCATTGTTGCACTATTCTCTCTACCCTCCT